GTTGCTTACTGAAAGGATTGAATTTATTGAAGTTCATCTAAAACTATACGATAATAAATTTCCATTTTATTGGATCGCATTAAAAGAACTCTAATTATTTAGCATCCAGGGATAAGTACCTCACTAAACACTTTAAAAAAGCCCTCCTAAAATATTACAGAACCTATCTTTCTTATTTCGCAAAATAATTCCCATTTTTCCCCCTGTCCATTTACTGGATGAAATGGAATGACATACTTTTCGGAAATGCATGAGAGGTCTCTCAGAGATCGAAGAATTAATTCTAACGTCATCGCGCTGGATATTTATCGATCTTATTCTACTTGATCTCGTCTATTGTTCGCTCGTACTTGACCTCGCGGTGGTACACTCGACATTAGATTTCAAAGAGCACGCACTGGTTGCATAAGATTTATTTCCGAACTCGCAAGGGACACAGATTTCTCGGCGCAGATTAAAACTTGAACGGCTCGCAATTAAGAGAAAACAATAAAGTCGTTTGTCTTGGATAGGAGGTCCAACAGTTTTGGAAAATGTGAGAAGTATCTTTATCGAACCTCTGATAAGATACATTTGTCATCCAATTGTTGAGATCGTCTCAAGATAAAGATAAAAAATCATGTTCCTACAATGTGATTCTGGAAATTTGAACAAACTAAAACTTTTTACGGAGGAAAGACACAAGAAAAAGGTTGATTATTCGAATAAAATTCAGTCGATCTCCAATAATGATTCTGACGTCAACCCTGCAATTATGGAACAACTAAAGCCTCCAACACTTCTCGTCACTTCCGGATTGATCCCATCACAAGCTATAATGATCCAACGATTGCGGTATTGCGTCGATGCAAACGGACGCCGCTTTAAGCGCCTCTTATAACGTGAGCATTCTTGTTCCACCGCTTTTTGCCACGACGAGTGACCTTATAAATACATTATAGACCATTAAAATCGCCTATCGCGTCCGCAAAATATAGCATTTAAAAAAGATAGAGATCTTGAAAACCTACCAACCACCATAAAACTATATATCACTTTATGGTTCATTTTATGTAGCATTCAATAAAAATATCTCTTTCCGTACTATTCCTATTTCTTTGATCCTGAATATATCTGAAGCTGGCAGCTCACTTTCTGGTG